GTGTGCCGTGAAAGGATCGTAGGTATGCTGCGAAAATTTTTAAAGATCATTAATTATTTTCAAAATAAGTTCAAAGCACAGTAAGTATGTATATATATATATAATGTGTGTGTATGTATATATATGTATGTGTGTGTATATATATATATATATACTTACTGTGCTTTGTGTGTATATATATGTGTGTATATATATATTACTTCTTTTTTTGAACAACATTATTTAAGTGCACTATGGAAGTTTATAGGTTCGAGTATGCCATGTGATTAAAAAAAAAAGGTTGAAAAACATTGAGGTAGAGAAATAGTTTTCTAGCAGAGATGCTAATTAATGCAGAAGACAAAACACAAGGACGTGGCTGAGAAGCTTCAGACGTGGTCCTCTGAAGCTGCCGAGGACCTTGCACTATGCAGCGGGCCCGTCCCAGGCTCCCTGGACTGAGAAATCTATACTTCCTCCTCGAGCAAAGGAGACACCTAGAGAAGCCTCAGGAGCTATAAAAGCTTCTGAGTAAAGCAGCGACAAGGCACCAACACGAGAGAGCTACAGGAACTACTTCCTGTGATGGCCCAGAGTTTACTCTGCTCCCATGAGGGCCTCTGGACCACTGTCCACACACCTGCAAGCAGCCACGCCTGCTAACCCTTCTGTGGACACTAGGTGTCCTTTTGTTACCTGTGAGCATCTTTCTCAGGAGTTTCTACCAGGGCCGCTGGCAAAGATGGCTTCCTTTCATTTCCTCTGCTCCCCCTATGGTGACACTGCTAATGAAATCACATAAACTGAACACACTCAGAAACCATCTGCTTCATCCCGCTACGTCAGTAGGAGCGGTGTTTGTTTACCGGCAAGGTCATGAGGATGGGACACGAAACCTTCCCAGGGACCTTCAGGGGAGAGGGCCCTGGCAGGAGAAGGGGGAGGTCATTAACCCTTGCCCAGCAATCATTTTGTTTCATAACCTCTGATGAGAAGACAAAACTGCATATATCATAAACCACAGGGTGAGGCTTATTTGCTCAGGGCTTTCCACATAAAGATGATAAGGCACCAGGCAAGAAGTTACTATAAATATTGTTTTTGAACTTTCCACTCTGCAGAGGAAATACCTAAAAAGATTGTCCAAGTGCAACAGCAAAGGTGGCTGTGGAACTAGCTATATAATGGAAAAGACTGTAGAGCTCACTGCCAAGGCCTTTCAAAAGGTTAAACTCTGAAATAATGTTTTAAAGGCTATAAATAACAGACAACGTGGAAAGTAGAATTTGGTTCTCTGTGCTGTGAGTCTTCACAGGATTTACATTTAACATGATTACTTTGCCTGCATCCATATTTTAAAACAAAAGGAATATGGAAATACAACTTCCCAGGGAAAGACGCGGTCATCTCAAAGGAAACTGCAGGGACTTCTGGCCACGTGCCCTGCTCCTCTGTGTGGCAGACAACTGAGCAATGAGAATTCATATTCACTGGGGACCCCATCAGAGAAGGGATCACGTGTTCATGAGGAGGACACATCCAGGGACAGGTACTGGCCTAGATAAATTCTTAGCAAAAAGGTTTGGACCCCAATTTTAAACCACTTATGGAGAGCTGAGTCCCTTGCAATCCTATAGTCACTTTCCTCCCCATCACTGACAACTGAGTCACCACAGCCTGCCCTGATGCCTGCCAGCTGCCGGATGGTCTGGCTTTGGCTGTTCTTCAAGAACATAAGGTAGCAATTTAGAATCAGCTCCATCAATAAAAATGCTGATATCTGGCTTTCTATAGCCAGTTAAGGAATAGTCAGTTGCCCAGGGGATAAGCAGGAACCAGAAAAACAAACAACAACAACAACAAAAGAGAGAGAGAGAATAAATGGGGCCTGTGAAAACTAACAATGGCACTAATTCTACTTGTAAAATAAACTCACAACATTCAGTCCGTAAACATTTAATTAGCACCTACTATATGCCAGGCACAGTGCTAGATGCTGGGGATACAGAGGTAACAGGCAGGTCCCGGCACTGATAACCCTGCACTGCTGTGGCAAACGCTCACTGACACTGTTAATCATGTGCACTCTCAGCTTGTGCCAAGATTTGTTCCAAACACTCTATTTGCGTACTTCTTTTTTACTTTCATAAACTATGAAGTAGGGTTTATATTAGCCTCATAGAGAAGAAAACAGATACAAAGAGGTTGACTATAACTTGTCTGAGCTGACCAACTCTTAGGCAGAGAGAAGCTAGGATTTGAGTCCAGGCAGTATGGCTCCACCCTAGGTATATGAGTAAAGAGTTCTGCAGGAAGCAAGGAAAAAAAAAAAAAAACAGCTACTGGGGAAAGTACCAGATAGGGCTTTTACAGATGCATAGGAGTTTGCTGAGGAGAATAAGAAAGATTCCCAGCCAGGCACAGTCGCTCACGCCTGTAATCCTAGCACTCTGGCAGACCAAGGTGGGCTGAGTGCCTGAACTCAGGAGTTCAAGACCAGCCTGAGCAAAAGTGAGACCCCCGTCTCTAAAAAAACAGCTGGGCTCTATGGTGGGCACCTATAGTCCCCGCTACTTGGCAGGCTGAGGGAAGAGAATCACTTGAGCACAAGAGTTTGAGGTTGCTGTGATCTACGATGCCACAGCACTCTACCAAGGGTCACAAAGTTGAGACTCTGTCTCGGGAAAGATTCCTTCCAGAAGAAGGGATTATAAATGCAAAGCACAGCCATCAGAAATTACGAAGACAGTTTTAAAAGATGAAAACACATTTTTATTACTGCTTCTCAGGCAGGAAGTTCTTCTACAGTTTCCAGCTAAACAGTAGCTAGGAACAGAGTCTTGGTGTTCTCTGGTGTCAGGAAACTGAAGGACTGCTGGTAAATACAACTCGATGATCCTGCAGTTCACACACAGCAGCACTACGTGCCAGCTCCTCAGTCCAAACACTTAAGACAACACCATTTAACAGAATGTGTTGCTAGAGGCTTGGGCTCAGAAGTCCTGACAGTACCAAATAGGAAACGTTGAAACTAAATACCTGGCTGAACCAGTCTTGCAACAAAGAGAAAAAATTGGGGAGGGGCAGGTCTGGGCCACAGGTTCCAGAAGGCTGAATTCTAATAAGACGTCAGGTGCTCTCCACGATGCATCCTGCAATTTTAGATTAGCAATGGCTTTGTTCACTAAAATAGGAAGAGGTTCCCAGGTCCTTGAAAGATAGGAACTCCACAACAAGAAAATGAAAACAAAGGTAGTTTAAAATGCCTGATAAATGGGTGGTTTTAAACATAGCTATTTTGAGTTTATCTTTCGTTAATTCACACTCTCTGAACACTATTCTTTGAAATAAATATAATTTACTGAATCACATCCCATAAGTGATTAAATGATGGGTCACCAACGTTAATACCCACTATTAAATTTCAGTCATTCTAGCCAACAGGGATAATAGATCACGTCCACTTGAAAAGCAGTGTTCTCAAGGTTTGTCTCCCAGGCCGGGCACGGCAGCTCACACCTATAATCCCAGTGCTCTGGGAGGTCGAAGCAAGTGGATTGCCTAAGCTCAGGAGTTCCAAGACCAGCCTGACCAAGAGTGAGACCCTGACTCTACTAAAAATAGAAAAACTATCCGGACATTGTGATGGGTACCTACAGTCCCAGCTACTTGGGAAGCTGAAGCAAGAAGATCGCTTGAGCTCAAGAGTTTGAGGTTGCTGTAACCCGGCGTCCTCAAACTATGGCCCATGGGCCACATGCAGCCCACCTAGGATATTTATCCAGCCCGCCGGGTGTTTTTGCCACCACTGCCTGTCCTGCTTAGTAGCCAGCTGGTCCCGGGGCCGCAATCTGGCCCTCCAACGGTCTGAGGTACAGTGAACTGGCCCCCTGGTTAAAAAATTGAGGACCCATGCTGTAACCTATGATGATGCCACAGCACTCTAACCAAGAGGACTCTTGTCTCAAAAAAGAAACAAAATAATTTTTTTGTCTGTCTCTTGGGATACATGAACTTATTTTCCTCCCCCACAAACAATATGAGATGTGGTGTCTGATATCCTAAAACCTAATCCGAGATATGCTGAGAATTCTCCAGCCCTGCCCCGAGGCAAAGGGAAAGGCACTCACAGCTCCAGTAAACCAGACTTAGGCCCCTCCGTCACCTTGGGCTGCAGCAAGCAGGTGGGGGCTCCTCAACCTCCAGCAGGGGCTGTTTGAGGAGGAGGTTCTAACTGCACAGAGGGGCCAGGGCTGCGGGCGCCTCCTCTGCCTGCCTCCCGGCTCCCCAGCTATTCCTTCCTGGCCCCTGACATGGGGCCGAGGTCTAGGGCTCGGATACGGGCTTTTCTACACTCGCCCACCCAACCCTCTGAGGTTGAGAATGTGATCTTTTCTGATTTCCAAATGTGAAAACACACACCGTAGAACCTCTGTAAGTTGCCCACCAAAGGGGCTGTAACAAACTGGTCAACATACAGAGGTGGGTACATAAAGAACAAGGCCTACTGCACTGATATGTACAGGTGGTTCATGACGGTCTGTAAAAATTAGGTCAACTTAAGGAGGTGGTCAGTGTGGGAAGGGGGTCAGCTATGGAGGCTCTCCTGGTCATGGCTTTATGGCCCTTTTCTTGCTAGTAATCTAGACGTAAGTGGGACACACACACACCAATGTAAGAAGAGGAACTGCACATTATAAGCCAATTAAACCGGGATCCACCTACGAAACCACTCTCCCCTCCAATTAAAAGTCTCTATATCACACACATATATATATGCACATGTTACGTATGTACTTGTACATATAAAGGTCATAGTAAAATTCACGCAGCAAGGCCACAGACGGCACTCAGTGGGGACTTTACTCATACGTCCAAAAACCAGAGCTCAGAACCAGAATGCACCTGCAGAGCTTTTGGGGGTGTGGACAGGGTGGGAACCCGCAGGCCTCCCCACCACCTCATGTCAACCTCCCTCCCGTGCCCACACACGCCGGTTCACAGATACACTCTCAACTCACTGGAACTTCAAACGCCTCTTGGGTGTCATCCAGCATCTGGATCTTGATGGACATGAGTTTTCCTGAAGGCGTTGGGGGCGGCTTCTGTCCACGTTCTAATGTACTGATCCCCGAATTCTCCGGGGCCCCCAGTCGAGACCCTGGGGTCGGCCTCTGCTCTATCTCTCCCATGGTGAAAGTCACTTATAGAATACCTGCAGGAAGCAGAGAAAGAGAGAAGCACATCAGAGTGGAGCCTCATTTAAACCACTGATGCCGTCCATCACCTCCCCTTTGCTATAGGAGCCTCCCTGAGCCGCGCTATGGGAGGGAAGCCCCGTCCTCTGTCCCCTGTCCCTGCACAGGAGGCTCACAGGGGAGGCTCCAGCTCACTCACTCATGATGCTACCTGTACGCACTCAAGCCAGGAAACAGTCTGCATATTTTATGCTTTTGCATATTTTTGCATAATGTTGCATGTTTTACTCTTTTCCAGTGTTACAGTCAGCTCTTAATTATTCAGCGTCTACAGTGAGCTAGGCACTACTTCTCACACCTGAGAGCTGGTGGGAAGATGACAGGCAGCACCTAAGACATGTCATTAGCATCCATTAATTACCTTTTACGGACACAGTAACACACTAATGTGGGTATTATAAAGATAAACGGGTAAAACACATCGCTGAGCTCAGGCTTATAATTTGAGAGGGGATATAAATACAGATTCACAACAGACATGGGCAACATTAGGCAGCGGCTTTTTTCTCAATTTCTGTTTCTTCTATTACAATAACCTCCATCTCTATGACAATAACCTCCTAATTCAGTTCCTTCCTGCCACTGCCCCTCCAACTCTTCCCCTTTTCCCCAAACTCACATACTGGGTTGTAGTGTTAACAGAGTTATTTCCTGAAAACACAAAACTATCCTCCTTCCTCCCCACACAGACCGCACCGCCCTCCTGCCTCTGTCTGCTCCCAGGTCTTCACACGCACGTTGCTCTCTGGCAGAACGCTATCCCCTCTCTCCACCTGGAAACTTCCACCGCTTTAAAATTCAGTTCAAATGTCACATTCCAACACCCGGAACAGAGTGCCTCTGCTACTGTCCCCTCTGTGCTGATGACTGTGTCGGAGCCACACTGTGACAGCTGAGCCCTTGAGCATGTCCTGCACGCCTCAGGGCACTGTGACCACCCTAGAGCAGGGGCCCCAGTCTTGAATATTCTCTGCCTCTCGGGGCCTTCCTAGGCACGATGCTGGGCACAAAGTGGGCTCCATGTTGGCTGCTGCTGACTGGACTCCTCGGCCAGTGCTGCACGTCAAGTGTCACAAGAACACCAAGGGAAGAGATTTTCACGTGACATAAAACAGTGGAAGCAGGAGGAGCTTCCATCGCAGAGTAGACGGGAACTGCGCTCGATCTGGGCTCAAACAGGAGACACCAGGACAAGGCATTCCAGGGAGAAGTGACGGCGTCAACAGTGTCACAGGACAGCAACGAGACAGCAGGTGGAAGGAGAGTGAGAATCAGTGCCGGAGTCAAAGATGCGTTTGGAAACAGTCTGAAACTGGATGACAGAGGTTCAGATGCCTGGCTGGGGAACAAACATGGTGTCTGCCCTGTTGGCAGTGGGGAGTTACTGGGGTAAGAACAAAGACACAACAAGAAAAGGAACGGCAGCAAGACGAACCTGAAGATGGAAAAGGAGAGATGGGGGTGGGGGCTGGAGCCTCCAGTTACAAAGTCACCACAACAACCCACACCTGAGGTGACAACCTGGAGAGCAGAGGGAAATGAAAAGCTGATGCTGTAACTCCCAACTGGAAAAACTACAACTCGGTGCTCTAAACGGTTAATGACAGAGAGCAGGAGACAGAAGTCCGACAGAGATCAGAGAGTTTGAAGTCAGGGCAGGAAAAAGGAACCAGGAAGGGATGGGATGGCTTTGGGACACTGTTTGGGGTCATTAAAAGGCATGTGTAGGCTGTCAGGGAGGAGGGTGATGGCACAGAGTCCATCTCCCCCCATGAGTGAAAGCCGTGAGGATGGATGAAAGCCGGTGAATGTGGAACCAGAAAAGCAAAAAGCAGCACCGTGCCGGGCACGAGGGTCACTGGAGAAAGATGACAGGATAGCGGGATAGAAGAGAGACGGGGGCACTCAGTCACAGGCAAAGACACCACGGAGCCACCTGCGGTGTGAGGTACAGAGCCACTGAAAACCAGTCACACTCCAGCTCCTTTTGTAGGGTTTTCGCCTCCAACTCATTCTCATCCTTCTCCTGAAGAGTTAGGTCCCCACAAGTTCCCCAACAAATTCCTTACTCTCCCCTTAGTGAAACCTCAAATGCTCTCACCACGGTCATAAGGCCCTGGGGTCTGCAGATGAGAAACTACGGGGTCACGTCAAAGGCCTGGCTCAGTGACTCGATCACCAGGGCCCAAGACCATGTGCCCTTCAATCGGACAGGGGAAGGGCGCGATCACTGTTCTGAGCACTGCCTTCTAGCACCCTTACCTTCCCTACCGACTCTCCACCACAGCCGTCATACTTCATTACTCCTTCCTTACAAAAGCCTCTAAGGTAGGGCTTCCAGGAGAAGGCGATGCCAGTTTCGGACAGCCTTTCTGAGAACTGCTGCTGCTTTTTTGATGCCTGATTTCACAGATCGGTTACACAAATGCCCTTCTCATTTCTGCACCCAATAAATAAGTCTTTTCTAAGAATCAGTTTCTAATCTGCTTGGGTGTTTGATCTCCGCTTGGGTTCATCCACACGTTAGTCTTGTGGGGCAAGACTGGGCCCCGTTAATCTAGAACGTACAGCACACAGCGCCTTTCACCAAAGTGGAAAACAGACCCTCCACACTGGTTCAGTGAACCAAATGTGGGTGGCGACATAATCATTGCGAAGTCAGTCATCTTCAAGATAATCTTCCCAAGGCAGGCAAAATTACTTCCATATACATTTTCTGTTTATTATCTCATGGTTAAAAATAAATGCAACCTCCAGAGAAAACGATGCCGTCAGTCAAGTTCACTGTCCCCGTTCCCAGCCTCCTCTGTGCACTTCTCCCTACTTTGGTGAGAGCCCTCCTGCCCCTCGCTTCACCTGCTCTTCCATGCACAGGCCACAGACTCGTGCATCGTGCTGGGCTTCGGCTCAGCCTCCTACCTCTGAGTCCCAGAGGAGTGACCTGGTTGTGGCTCCAGTGCCCATCCAGGGAGGTAACAGCAGGAAGGAAGGGCGCTGTTCCCCCATGTCACCCCAGCTCAGAGGTGACAGGCCCCTCCCTGGAAATACATTTTCTCCTTGTCTTACCTAAGCGAAAAGCTTTCCTTTCCCTCCTGCCAAAGATCCCCAAATAAATATATATTTACTTAAAATAGACAACGATTTTAACCTGCACGTGAACTTTATGGCCACCCTGTATTTAGAGTCTAAGATTTAGCACCTTGTTCTTTACAAATCACACTGAGTCAGCAATTAACAGATATTTAGCACTTTCACTTTTTCTTTAGCCCCCCCCCCCACCGACCTCATGCCTCTATTATGTCTACTTCTGGATACTAACGTTTTACCAACGTGTGCCACACTTTCTTTTGTTGCCATACTTGCTGCACATGGGAAGGTCTGTTCAATAGAAACATAAATCCAGCCAAGAGTTTTGAGTTGAGCATCCTAAGAATGTCAGGGGAGCATCTCAGGAACGCCGGAGAGTCATAAATGGGGAACCACGATTTTTGATATCTAAGCCCAGTAATACAATGCCATCTTCTAGGTAAACAAGTCTAACAAACCTAAAGGCCTCCACTGTACAAATATTAATCCACATTCTACTGTGACTTTACCTCCATTAACTTCTTCACTCCTCTGAATCCCTTGAGGAATCAAAGCAAAGGAGACTAATATTTCTTTCTTTGTGATACATGACTAGTAATGTGATCATTCCTCACCTCAAAGTAAAAAGTGTTTGCAAAACTACTTTATTGTTTAGTTCTTTTTTGAAAAGCGGCTGTAACAAGGTACCAAGACTTTTCACTGGCAGAGAGAAGATAAAAAAACAGAGTTGTTTTGTCTTAATATCCTGACTTAAAGAATTCCCCTTGGAATTCACCAAAAAACAATAAGTAGTACTCAAAAAAAATGTAAATTCCATCTCTGAAGCAACTAGAAGCCGTGTGTAACCCCAAACCACAAAATGTGAGAAAGAGTTGCCACACTACACTGAAGGTCAGTCAGACAGAGGAGAAGGAAAATGCTTAGAGAAGCTGTCCACGGCTGCAGGCCGAGCCACAGCCCCAAATAAGTAACACGCCAGCAATAACGTTCTTGGAACAACAGGGACAGGTGTGCAGATGGGCATGAACAGTTTCCTTGGACATAGTGTGACATGAAATGAGAAGCCACACAGGCAGCCATAATTGTAGGAAGCAGTCTGTTTCTGAGGCAAAGTGAAGATGACAGAGACGGCACTAGGAACCCCATCAAAGTTCATTACCAAAGTCTCAGCAAGCAAGAGAAAAGCAAAGGATGAAAGGCACACACATACACACACACACACACACACCCCACCTCTGGTCATAAAGATTCCTATCAGCTTAGGTCACAGGTGTCCTCAAACATGGCCCGCAGGCCACATGTGCCCGCCTAGGACATGTATCTGGCCCGCCAGATGTTTTGCCACTGCTGCCCGTCCTGCTTAGCAGTCGACTCATCCCGGGGCCTGCAGTCTGGCCCTCCAACAGTCTGAGGGACAGTGAACTGGCCCCCTGTTTAAAAAGTTTGAGGACCCCTGGTAGGACATGGCTCTGTCTGCTGACCCACCTGAGGCTCCTGCAAATAGCTATTTCCTAAAGGCAGGGGAAAAAAAAGATCTCTATGAAAATGCCATAAGAAAAAAAAGAAAAGAAATGACAGATCAACACCCAAAGAAATATTACACGTAAAAAACTAAACTTTTGCCCAAACATATTATCATAAATTAGCAAAACTTCATGAAATAACTGATCCATAGACAAAAACATAAGACTTATGAATGAGTTCTGGGAAGCTATGGAAACACATTCACAGGAAACAAAGAAGGGGGGAGTGTGTGAAAGAATAAAGTGAAATGTCATCAAAATGCAGGCAAATGGGAAGGAGCTAAAAGGATATACATTCGTGTGAAAACACAGGGACTTAAGCAGAAAGCCTGAGAAAAGTGAGCCAA